AAACGAAGAAAATAAGTTATTTTTGTAGCAGCAGAACGGACCGTTCCAAAAGTGGAACGGGCTGTTCCAAAGAAGAAAAAAATGCCTCTGTGGGTTTTTCCATAACGGACCGTTCCCAAAGGGAAACGGGCCGTTCCGAAATTTTAAAATTGCCTAAAGACCTTAGTTGGGAACGGCCCGTTCCAACTATGGTCAATCAGTGTTAACGTAAACTTCAGAACGGGCCGTTCTGCTTTTTGAAACAGTCCGTTCCGATTTTGGAACGGGCCGTTTTGTTTTGTTTGTCTCATCTACTTGATATAGTGGCTTTGGATGTATTTTTTTGTATTGTGCACCCTAACTCTAGTCGGGTTGGGACATTTGTATATATTTATATTCTAGATCCTATATTTATATACTCGTTCTGTTCTGTCTAGTGTTTCCGGTGCGCTGTGGTTGCGAGTGTAGTGGCCAGCCGGGTCGTTACACCTACGACGGCGAGCGCCGCGTCCCCGGCCCCGCCTTCAATCCCCGCCGGCTCCTAACAAATTCCATACTCTAACTCGTATTTTCTGAAAATCCTCATTTAACTTCACCAATTGCTCCCATACAGTATCTGTTCAACATCACTCTCTCCCAATTGCGAGAGGTAGAGCTCTCGTTTGCTTTGGACACAGAGGTTTTAGATTATCGTTACTCTATTGAAGCTAGTTAGGGTTTTAGCGTTTTATGATTTCCCTCTCACTTCTATAAGTCCATCATGAGTCCCGTTCAGGATTTCGAGCAACATTCTCGTCATCTCGTGGAGGCCGACCTCCGTAAGCATTTTCTCTTTCTCTCTTTTGTTGTAACCATAATTATTTGGCGTTTTGTGTGTTTTCTTTACTTGTGTTGTATACTACCTAGCTGTGCTGGATGCAGATATTGATGTGCTGCGCTGAGCGCGGCCCTTGTCGCGCTGGGCATGAGACTCCTTGGGAGTCTCTGCCTTGTGGGCGCCGGGCGCAATTGGTATTGCGCCAGGCGCGAGTGAGCCTTGGGCTCTCTGGCTGGGTCCCACCGGGCGCGGGCATGCTTGCGCTGGGCGCGCTGGCCCCCTGGTGCTCTCTGGTTGAACTGCGCTGGGCGCAACCACGAGTGCGCTGGGCGCGGAGATGTGATTTAACTAATGGATGTTAGAGGTTGTTTGGGTTGAGTTTAAGTAGAAGTTGTTGATTATAATGTGATGACTTGTGGTTAACGCTGCTTGTTGATGTTGAGTTGTATCAGTTGTATATTGTTGTAAGTTGATATGTTGAGTTGTATCAGTTGTATATTGTTGTAAGTTGATATGTTGAGCTGTAAAGTTGCGTTGTGCTGTATGTTGATATTTGATGTTGTAGGCTGCAAGGCTGAGTTGATGTAGGCCGCAAGGCTGAGTTGTTGTAGGCCGCAAGGCTGAGTTGATGTAGGCCGAAAGGCTGAGTTGTTGTAGGAGATCTCCGAGTTGATATGCGTGACGACGCATTGTATGCTTATTGGTGATTATGCCGTAAAATTGACGGGATGTATGTTGATGAGGTGTTGATAGTAGTAGTTGTTTATATTACTTAAATCTTCCTGTATGTTGTTCTTTTTATACTAGCTTACCCTTTTGTTGTTTCCATGTGGTTGGACTGCGATGATCATACTATGTATGGGAGCAGAGCAGGGATAAGTGGTGGCTAGTGGTGAGTCTGCAGCTGGTAGATGGAGTTGACTTTTGCTGATGTTTTGTTTGTCTCATCTACTTGATATAGTGGCTTTGGATGTATTTTTTTGTATTGTGCACCCTAACTCTAGTCGGGTTGGGACATTTGTATATATTTATATTCTAGATCCTATATTTATATACTCGTTCTGTTCTGTCTAGTGTTTCCGGTGCGCTGTGGTTGCGAGTGTAGTGGCCAGCCGGGTCGTTACACCTACGACGGCGAGCGCCGCGTCCCCGGCCCCGCCTTCAATCCCCGCCGGCTCCTAACAAATTCCATACTCTAACTCGTATTTTCTGAAAATCCTCATTTAACTTCACCAATTGCTCCCATACAGTATCTGTTCAACATCACTCTCTCCCAATTGCGAGAGGTAGAGCTCTCGTTTGCTTTGGACACAGAGGTTTTAGATTATCGTTACTCTATTGAAGCTAGGTAGGGGTTTAGCCATTTATTGTGTATAAGTGTTGGGGTAGAGGGTGTCACATTCTACAGCTAGGAGTAGTCTAGGTGAGAGTTGGCATTCACCTACATGACTTTCTTCTACTAGATGGACAACATGAAATTATAAGATTAATTTTTGAACAAACTAGTAGACAACTCCTGAGAACCAATAGGAGATATGTCTATTTAGGGCTAATCAATAGAGGAATCAGAAATCTAACAAGATCTTTTGTTGGAGCAAAAGCCTTCCTTGTTCTTTTTGATCAGAGATTTAGGGACAAAAACTCCTGGGCTATAATAGGGATAATCGAGGTAGATCTTAATCAACATGTTTCCTTGATACACATAGCTCCAAACTTCACAATGAATCTCTCTAATTTCATACAAAACATAAATTTAGAAATACAAACAAGAGGCTTTGGAGAAAAATTTGATGGGAATAATCTTCATCTAGAAATAACCTTCATAGGAAGAATTAGTAATCAGATATCTCCCAAATATAAGATCAATACAAATCCTTTGATAACCTCATTAGGATCAAACGGAATACATGTTGCAACCCGAAAATTTCTGATCTCGCGAATTATGGTTTAGATATCCTTTAGAAAAATCTCATTAATTAAGGAATGCCCAAATACCAAACTAATCCTTGATTAATGGTTTTGACAATGGTTCATGGAGTCGCCACCAATGTTTTACTCAAAACATTGAAAAAAGAAAAGGTTTTTAAAAGTCCAATAATGGCCTTGATAACCAGAATTGGGTTTAGGGGTCGGTTACGTATAGGGAAGGTATTAAGTACCCCTACAACGCCATTTATTGATACCCTTATGATGAAGTTAGCATAGTAAAAATAATAATATAAATACTTAATCCCCTTTATGAATGGTTATTTACATGCTGAAATTTAAATTAAGCGATTGACCCTAAAATGTCTACATATTTACTTTTATTCTAACAATATTTAAAATAAAAGAAGTGAAAGATGGAGCAAGAGATTGATGAGCAATACCTCGTAGCAAGCTTTATTAGATCTTCAACTATGGAGACTTTTTAGGCACTTTTTGGTTACCTTTCACACTACAATATGCCTTACAAAACTCAAGAAATGCAATAGGAGGGAGAGAGAGAGAAATTTCGAGCTCTAAGGAGTCTTGGACGAAATTTTGTGGCCTTGAGAACTGTGCCCAAGTCTGCTATTTATAGGCATCAAAAAGTGGCCAGAACAGCCTGTTCCAAAATCGGAATGACTCATTCTGAATCCAATCGTTTTGTGTTAATTTTGTAACTAGAATGCCCCGTTCCTAAAATCAGAACAGTCCGATCCAGAGGTGAGTTTAGCACATAACTACCTATGCTAGAACGACCCGTTCCAAAATCAGGTTTTTAGGCATTTTTATAACTTGGAACGGCCCGTTCCAATTTAGGAACGACCCGTTCCAAACTTAGGTTTTAGCCTTTTTTAGGAGCTTGGTACGGCCCCTTCTAGTTTGGGAATGGTCTGTTCCAAACTAGGGTTTTAGGCCCTTTTTATAACTTGGAATGGCCCGTTCCGATTTTGGAACAGCTCGTTCCAAGTTACTAAAACCAGCTTATTTGGGCTTTAGGCTTTCTGATATCATGTCCTGTTGTTTCTATGTTTCGGGAGCTCCTTTCCTTGATAATAGACGTTCATTTCATTACTTTTGTAGGTCCGAACGAAATTGGGTGTCTACAATACAATTTCTTCCTCCTCAAATATTTGAATCTAGAAGAAATCAAGGCATTGAATGACAAACACATCTCAATTCTGGCTCTTCCAAAACAACAATAACAGCGCCTCAAACAGCCATAATGACAAATAGGAGAAATAGTCTCTTAGTTAGATTCATTGATTATAAGAATTTACAAACTCCTAACTTAAGAGAAGAATAACCCTCTAATTTTTTTTTGATAAATTTATGGTACGGATTCATATTTTGAATCTTATAATTACAAATAAAATAATAATATTAAAATAAAATATAAACCATAATAATAAACCGTCACCATTAAAATAATTTTAACAATTTAATCCTATTTTTTTTTATAAACTAATTTGCCTTATTTTCCAAGTTCAACCACTATATTATCAAACTATTATTTAGTTCAGTGTGATAATCCATTCGACTCTTATAACATTATCTATAACAAATTATCGTAGTTGAATCTTATGAATAAAAAATATATAATTAAAAAAAACTCAATTAAAAGTGATTAATCATATTTTTCAAGTAAAAATTAATCATTAAAGAATTCAATGTATAATTCAAAATTAATAATACTTTTATATTATATAAAAAACAGTTTCGTAATTCTTACCTCTTTCAAATTACATAATTTTATTACTGGGAATATCATATGATCACAAATCACAATGCTGGGTTTGCATTTGTTTGGGGTATCATTAAAAAGCGTCACAATGTTGACTAGCACAGCTGTATAGGGTTTGCATTTGGCCCTGCCCGCTGAATCACGACCGCAACAGAGAACAGAATAGACACAAAAACCAGTTTTGTTTCTGTACCCTCGTCGCTAGTTGCTACGAGCCACACACAACCACACACCCACATTTGATTTGTGCATTAGATTTTGTCGTATATGCCACTGTATCTTACTCATCTCAAAGCCTAGCCAATACTGAATAGGTCCCTTTACCTGACCTGACACGATGTCAGACTTTAAAACCAAACCAACACTCACACTCTCTCTCTTCCCATGTGCCCAACACATCAGTGCGGACGTCGAAACTGCCTCTTAACCAAATTTAATAAAACCACTTGGTTCCGCTCACCGCTCTGTGCTCTTCCAAGTTCCAATCTAATCCATTCATTCGGCAGAAAAGTTCGTAACTCAGTCAAACCTGCAACAAACCAACGTCTCTGAAACTGAAACTAAACACTCACTCACTCACTTACCACGCGCTTTTCTTTCAATGCAAGAAACCGTTTTTCTTTTCGGAGTAAACTAAGCTTCATTCCTCTCTCTCCAAGTGGAGCTTTCTTTTGGATGGGAAAAGGGTTTGCAAAATGTGAGGGCCTCACTGCTTGTTAGGTAGGTTAAGGGTTTCTTCGTGAGAAAAAAAAATCTTTTTTTTTTTTGCATTTTCGGTTTTGGCTTTCCTTGAACACGTGGAGCTCGGTTGTGGTGATTTTCTTTCTGCTTATTTTCTTTTGTCTAGATGGCGTTGGTTTTTGTAACTTTTGTTAAGTTGAACCAATGGCTCAATGTCTTCGAGCTTTTTGGGAATTTTGGTGGTAAATAGATTTTGTTTAGCAGCCAAACAAGGCTATGTGGGTATCTTCTTAAGCATTTAACTTTGTCATTTTTGTTTCTGAGTGAGCAAAAGAAATGTGTATTTTAGTATTTATTTTATTGATAACTTTGTGTAGGGAGCAATTTTCTGTAGCTGTAATTGTAATCAAGTATCCTTTGAGTTCAGAAGCCCTTTTTTTTGTTTTTTTTTTAATGTATTTTGTTTTTCAAGTGCTGCTGTGTTGATGTCTTGGCTTGCCCTCAAATTTATTTATTTATTTTTCTGCTTCCTCTTCTTTTTCGTTTGTCTAAATTTAATGCTTATTACTTGAAATTAAGTTTCATGAGTTATTATGTGGTCCAGGATCAAAATGTTCATAGTGTAAGTATTGATTAGGTTCGCAGGTGTTGGCTTGGGTGCTTTATGATGTATGCAAGCCCATGTGGACCTTCTCCAGTGAATAGTACGAAAGTCTTGTCATATCCAATTCATTAACATTGGGACTAGTATTATTGCTAATGATTATAAAATGAATGTTGGCCTCTTTTCTGATGGTCTGGTGCTACATTAATGAATGATTATGCATTACTGATTGCGGCTTATGTGATTTACATTTCTAATGGAACATGCTTGGGTATTAACTTTAGCGTAGTATTTTGGTTTGAGGTGCTTTCTTTATGCTCAGTTACTGATTGCTCTTCCTTTTGTTAGATTATTGTTTACAGTCTTGTAGATTCAGAGTATGTTGAGCATTTTCTGTGTCAAATCTTTCAGGTTGTGTTTGTGCTGATCTACACTGTTGATATAAAGATTCCAAGAAACTGATAAGGCCTGATTCTATACCAGTCCAGCATATATGGCCTCTACTATTGGTATTACTAGTGATGATTCCATGATTGTTGAGAAGCTCCCAGAGGAGATTAATGAAATGAAGATCAAGGATGAAAAGGTATAAGATTTTGTCTTTTCAGTATGCCTTGTGGCTTTGTTTATATCAGGCTTTGATCCTCATCCATACTTCCACCCTTCCCCCCAAATTCCAACTTTTGGTAGGAAATGGATACTGCAATGGTGGATGGAAATGGAACTGAGACTGGCCGTATTATTGTGACTACAATTGGTGGTCGACAGGGTCAACCCAAACAGGTAGATATTTTGGAAATACAACTGAATTTGATTATAAGATTGGATTTCAAGTTAGTTAAACTGGATTGCACAAATGTTATTTATGTACTTATTCTAAGTAAGAGATAGAAAAGGTTACGCTGTAGTATACAACATTAATAACGACCAAAGCATTTTCCCACTAGATAGGTTAGCTACATGGATCAACTGATGCCATTGTGTTCTAAAACAAATCTTCAGAAATGCTATTTATTTCTAAATTCTTTTCATTGGTTTCAGTTAGAGTTTGGTGTATCACTACATCTAATTATTGGACTATGCTCCATCTGTTCAACCCTTTCAAATGAGGCTTCTATTAGTTTTCTTCTAACATGTTCAAACCATCATAGGGTCAACTCAATCCTGTTTTCCACGGGTGTCACTCCAACATTATCTGTAATTTTTGTGTGTGATTTCTTTTATTAGTATGTCCGTGCATATAATATAATTTTTTCATCTTTGTAATATGCTCTTGTTTGTCTGCCCTACATTCAGTACCATAAAGCATTGCTGCTGGTGGTCTTATTTATTGCACTGCAGTAAAATTTTCCTATCAGCCATGGTTTTAAATTGCGGTTGCGGTCGCGGTTGCAGTTACTGCGGTTGCGGGTATTGCGGGTATTGCGATGCGGATTGCGGCTGTTGCGGTGTGAAATTATTAATTATTTTCACTAAATATAAAAAATTTATAATTATCAATATATATTTTATTTTTAAGGATTTATACATTTTAATTCCTTTTTTTTTAAAATATTCTATTATTTTAATGAATAATTTAATTTATTTTAAAATTATAGTATCAATTTATCGTATTGCGGATGTATTGCACCTGGTGACTTGTATAATTGCTCAAGAGGTACATTAATGGTTAATGTCTTGAACATGGTTTTAAATTGCGGTTGCGGTCGCGGTTGCAGTTACTGTGGTTGCGGGTATTGCGGGTATTGCGATGCGGATTGCGTCTGTTGTGGTGTGAGATTATTAATTATTTTCACTAAATATAAAAAATTTATAATTATCAATATATATTTTATTTTTAAGGATTTATACATTTTAATTCCTTTTTTTTTAAAATATTCTATTATTTTAATGAATAATTTAATTTATTTTAAAATTATAGTATCAATTTATCGTATTGCGGATGTATTGCGGTACATTGCAGATGTGTTGCGGATGCAACACCGTTACGTTGCGGAAAAATGTGTGATTTCCAGTATCATCGCAATTGCGGTCCGATGCCGTTGCGGACAAGGCCGCAACAGCAATATTGCGGCCGCAACACGTGTTGCGGTCCGCAATTTAAAACCATGAAGCTCCTATATATCTCAAATAATGCTGGATGTATTTCTCCATTTCACCCATCCAACTTATTTCCTATTATTTACATTTCTCTTTCTCCATTGCCTTGTATGATAGATCCATGATAACTAAATTATATTTGTGGTATATGGTATGGCTATTTTTCAGGTCCGACTGTCCAAGCTAATGCTAGCGTGTCTTGCTAAAGTTGTATTCCATATATTCTGTTTTACTTTTTCTTAAACAGAAGCGTCAGTGAAAAGCTTCTCTTCTCTCAATAACTCTAGTTTACCATATATTACCTTGAGTATCCCACTAGAACTATATCAATTTGCGAAAAGCATGAGATAAATTGTGAAGCACCGGCTTCAGGATATGTTGTATAAGAATGTTCAAAACCAAGGTATAATAATGAGGGCTCAAGGTTTACCCTCGGTGTAAAGATATAGCTTTAGGAAAATCCTCCTTGGCCTTACCATGTGTATGCATGCTTGTTTAACCCCCCTAACATGCACATCTTTGATGGCCTAAACAGAAGCAACGGGAACTCCTTTCCAGTTCAATGAAAACATGAAGATATTTATGTTTACTCCAATAAGAGTCTGAATAAACTTTTCCATCAACACGTCTAGGAGAAAAAATGATAAGAAAAAGTAAAATAAGCTTCTTCATAGTCTAAAATGCTTCTCCATAAGTTAAAAATTAGCTTTTGGAGAAGTTAATGTGAGAAAACTTCTACAAACTAGTTTATGCATGATCCAATTTAGCTTTTGAAGGAACTTATTCCAATATTTCTTATTTTCTTCTATAAGTTTTTATGGACAAATTTATCTAAATAGGTCCAAAGTCATGTGATTAGAAATTTGACGTTTTATTCTTTTTATGGGTATTAAATATTAAAGGGAAAAAACATTTAATTTGATTTGAGAGTGTAAACTAAAATGTTGTAAGAGGCTGATATGGTGATGTGATGTACAAGTGTTTTCAGTTATAAATTTGCTGAATGATGCTCCCAACCTAAGATGTAAGAAAACCCCTCATCTCAGCACACTTTGTAAAATTCATTATTTACAACACTTGTAAATAGGCCAACATTGTAAATCATTACGAATTTAATTAATATGCTGCCCAACAATGCATTCTAGACCATATTTGTCTTTCATATAATAATAATAATTTCAATAATATTTTGAAGCTATACAAACATTTCAGTCAATTCTGCAAATATAAATCTAAAATGAATAAATTTTCCAGTGTTATTCTCTTCTCTTGAAAGTTATCAATATATTTGCAAGATGTTTGAACAATTTGCATTCTTTGAATTTGTAAGCTACTGGTATATGAGCCAGATTATTCATTTTAAGATGACACTGACTTCTCATGTGCCTGCACCTCATCTTCAAGATATGCAATCTATTGCAGTTCACAGAAACACATTGATTAGATTATTACTGAATTGTGGATGGTTGATACTTGGATCAACTGTCGTTGAAATAATCTTATTTTGATACTTTTTTATGTGAGAATAGTAGTTGTCCCTACAGTTTAAGCTGCTGGACTAAAGGCTCACAAGTTATACTAAGCATAGCACACTAGTGAATAAAGATAGCAAAAAACAATGCAATTGTGTTTTGGTTAGGTAAGGGATCCTATTGGGATCTAGGTGGGGAGAATTGGGAAAAGTCTGTGGGTTGGGTGGATCAAACCACCATCTTAAATACCATAGCCCCATGATGACCAGTGAAAGTTCTTCTAATCTACAAGGCCATTTGGGTGTATTGGAAAAAACTCAAGTCCCACATCGACTAGAGATTAGGCAATTGAATAATATATAAGTGGAAAGCAACCCTCACCTTACAAGCCGGTTTTGTAGGGTTGAATTAGGCTTAATCCACTATTCTAACATGGTATCAGAGTCATTTAGATCCACTTTAAAAATGGGCCACCTACCATTGATGTATGCCTCATAGGCATGAGGGGGTGTATTGAAAAAAATCAAAGTCCCGCCAATCCTAGATCATTAAAAAGGGCCACCTACCATTTATCCACGTACCAAGCCCAATAGTGCTGGACGTGAGGGGGTGTATTGGAAAAAACTCAAGTCCCACATCGACTAGAGATTAGGCAATTGAATAATATATAAGTGGAAAGCAACCCTCACCTTACAAGCCGGTTTTGTAGGGTTGAGTTAGGCTTAATCCACTATTCTAACAAGGTGAAATTCAATGATTTACTCCAACTGAAGAATGACCTTAAAAGCTTTTATTTAGCTTTTGATTCTCACTATTATTCAATTTGAGTTATTTTAATTCATTATTATTTCAATCTCCTCTCTATCATAATGTTTCTCTTTCTATTTGTGTGCCACAGACTATAAGTTACATGGCAGAACGTATTGTTGGACAAGGATCATTTGGTATTGTGTTTCAGGTGGCATTCAATTGATAAGTTGCAGTTCAGATTAATGGCTCTAAGATAGCTGATATAAAGTTGATTTCAGCATATTTGTTTTGCAGGCAAAGTGTCTTGAAACAGGAGAAACTGTGGCAATCAAGAAAGTTTTGCAGGATAAAAGATACAAGAATCGTGAATTGCAAACAATGCGCCTTCTTGATCATCCCAATGTTGTGTCACTCAAACATTGCTTCTTTTCTACCACAGAAAAAGATGAACTCTATCTCAATTTGGTACTAGAATATGTACCTGAGACTGTATATCGTGTGGTGAAGCATTATAGCAAGGCAAATCAGCGGATGCCCCTGATATATGTTAAACTTTACACATATCAGGTTGTTTACACATTACTTTTGTGATATCATGCGTATGTTAGTTAATCCTTGCAATGACTGTTTAAAAAGTCTATCATATTGTAAACACTAATTGATAGAAATGATCTAAGGCTATCATCAATTTCTAGTTGATGGATTTAAGTAAAAGACATTAAGATACTAACCTTAATTTGACACTTCGTAATTTGCATATCAGGAAATTGGCCCTTGCTTTTTTCATATTCTTTGCAGTGTTTCTGTTCTTGTTCTCTTGAATACTTTAACTACAGTTCTCTATTCCAATCAGAGTACTTAATAGCATGCTAAAAATGGTGCTGTAGAGGTTGTGTTGCTAAGTGGCCCTGGGCTGCTAAAGAAGCAGGTTTGCATCATGGGTTGTGGTTTGCAGTTGCCACGGCTGCAATCGTGCTGGAAATTGTGTCCATTGGCACAATAACAAGGTTAAAGACATAAGGCATATTTTGATAGGCAATTTTGATTCAAATATTCATTTTTACCTGTATAACTAAAACTCATTTTTACTGCCATAACAAACTTATTTTCCATCATTTGAACTTCCAGTGGAAAATGTTAGAAGTATTTATCATTGATCTATTTTAAATTTTATCATCCAAATGACTGCAACAGACAGATTATAACATGAGTATTTTGAGACCAAATGAACGGATTTTAAGTGTCAAAAGGGAAGCTTAATGGGTTCTGTTCTTTGGATCATTAAATTTTATGAATTATTATTGTTATTATTATTTGTTGCTGTTTTCTTTTAATTATGGTACTTCCCTTTGAATATGTTTTCTATTTTAATTAGGACTTCAGACTATATATTGTAGATGTATGATTATTTTATGGCAATAAAATGCTTATTTTATAGCAATAAAATTAATACATTAGGGCTTTTGGTTTAAAGGAGGACAGAGGACTTTACCGTTTTATAGTGATCAGCCGATGGAACCATAAGGTTGTTATACAACACTTTGCTAATATTTACTTTAGGTCTGATGGTACCTTAGAAAATTGAATGAACAGGATTAGAAAATGTAGAATTAAATTTCTCTAGGTGTTCAAGCCATGGGTTCCTTAGGCTTCATACCTAAGGACTGATTATACCACACTTAAAGGGAAACCTATTCACTGAGTATCTTAATGCTGCTGTAGTATACTTGGAGTATGTTAAGATTCATTTGTGCTAAGGGTTCTTAAAAATTAAAATCTATGTATGGTCATCATTGTTAATTCTGATGTATTCCTATGTTCTTTGATAGATTTGTAGAGCTTTGGCTTATATTCATGGATGTGTTGGAGTGTGCCACAGGGACATTAAGCCACAGAATCTACTGGTTGGTTTCACCTACCAATTTTTTCATTTTCTTAGTTTGGTGATTTGTTGTCAATAAAGTCTTATGTTGTGCAGGTTAATCCTCATACTCATCAAGTCAAGCTTTGTGATTTTGGAAGTGCAAAAGTTCTGGTAATGTTCCACTTCTGTCTAATGTCTAGTGAAGGTCATTGGCATTTTTTTTAGATGATTATTTTCCTATGTATTTTATATTATTGGGCATTCACACACAAAAATAACAATTGGCTGATATTTGACACATTCAGGTCACTTAGTAGATAAAATGGTGGGGTATAGGTTTTGTGGACCAGTTGTGTGTCTTTGCATAACTACTAATATTCTGATTAGCTGGAAATGTTGTAGTGTTTAGTCATTTAGGTAGGTGGAAATTCTAAAATTTAGAAAGCTTTTATAGTAACCATATTAAGATCCTTATTATGCATGATTGTATGTATCCCCTCATAAAACATGACCTCCTTGCACAGCGCAAGTCACACTGAAGAAAAAGGTGTCATGATTTTCACAAGAAAAAGTATCAGAAATTCCACGTCCCAAGTTTCAATTGGGCTTAGGTTAGCTTTATGATGCATCAACTTCTGCCCCTTATTGCTGTCTGCACCCTTTTTCCCTTCCATTTTCCCTATTTAAAAGATCGAAAATGAATTTAGTGGGTAGAGAAGAAGGCTCTTAATATTTTTCCATCAGTGTGTTTTGAATACATCTGTTGAATTGCTCCTGATTTTGCCAGCCTTTTAAATAATTTGTATTTACTTCCCAATTATTTTGGAGTAGGTCAAGGGTGAGCCAAACATATCATATATCTGCTCTCGATACTATCGAGCTCCTGAACTCATATTTGGGGCAACTGAGTATACTACTGCAATTGATATGTGGTCTGTGGGTTGTGTGCTTGCTGAGCTGCTCCTGGGACAGGTTTGCAAAACAAAACACATTTTTTTTCCTATTTCTTTCACATTTTTGAGAAAGGGTCATATCATGGTGTTTACAAGTCTTCTTCACTGCTGTTGACCATCTGTAATTTGTAGCCTCTGTTTCCCGGAGAAAGTGGAGTCGATCAACTTGTTGAAATTATCAAGGTAAGATTGTTTGCTTTTGCCTTAGTTTGACTTGACCTAGAATATAATACCTTGACATTTTTAAAAAAGGCATGCATTTATATTTTTTTAGCTTCACTAAATTGTGAGTTATTTGTTTTATGTTTTAGGTTCTTGGAACTCCAACCCGCGAGGAAATAAAATGCATGAATCCAAATTATACAGAGTTTAAGTTCCCTCAGATCAAAGCTCACCCCTGGCATAAGGTGATTTCCATGACTTGCAAACTAACCAATTGCATTAGTAATGTTGTACTGTTTTCATTGATCTGGCAATTTGTTTTTTTCTTCTTTTAAATAGATATTCCATAAGCGTATGCCCCCAGAAGCAGTAGATCTTGTTTCAAGGCTTCTCCAGTATTCCCCTAATTTACGATGCACTGCTGTGAGTGTTTAACTGTTTATGTTATTCTTGGAATATATATTTGAAAATGTTCAAAATTTCTTGACTAGTTAATTACTCAATTGACATGATAATTAAAAAATTTCATATGCTGTATCTTTGGCAGTTAGATGCATGTATCCACCCATTTTTTGATGAACTCCGTGACCCTAACACCCGTCTCCCTAACGGTCGCCCTATGCCACCGCTCTTTAATTTCAAACCTCAAGGTAGTGTTTTTCATTTGCTCTTATATCTGCTTTAAGGGCTTTAAAACAACTTTCTGATGATACCATGTCTTTTTGAATGATGGCGCACAACAATTGTAGAGCTGAAGGGAGTGACTTTGGAGCTGCTATGCAAACTTGTTCCAGAACATGCTCGGAAGCAGTGTCCATCCCTTAATTTCTAGACACCTAACATAACCCTTGATTACTATTATGTGGACCTTCTGTGATATTTTGTCATGTTTGTCCTACATGTTTTTATAAGAAAAGTCGAAAAGACAACTGCATCAGTTATCTTTACAATCAGATACTTGGCTGACAGATGCATTTGCTTCTTGTTATTTCACTGTTTTGTCTGTAGAGACATTTGTTCTATTATTATAATTATTGTTTGTGGTCTTTAATTGTAGCACTTGCAGTATTCATAACTTGAAGATATCAATAAGTTCAACCGTAAAATTTATCAGGATTTGAGATCAGATTTTGCTAGCATTTGTGATTTTGGCTTTGTGAAAAGAGATCCACTTCTCCCAGAAGTCACTAACGAGGGTGGGTCAGAATTTGTACAGTTTCCGGTAATTTGTAAAGAATGAAAAATAACACCTATTTCTTTTAATTATAGAATATATATATATATATATATATATATATATATATATATTATATTGCGATTTTGGAAAGTAAACGAGTTCCAAACCAAGCTTTCGTCCAAAAGGTGGAAGAAGAGGGAAAGCAAATAGAACTTAATATTTTTATGTCAGGCTATTCGACATGTTAGTTATCTTCGAACTCGAATGGTTTTACAAACTTGTAAACTTTTACAAACATGTCATTCCTGGCTTACGGATGCAAACTTATTTGTAATATTCTTTAACTAGTCTATTCAGGTTTACAAGGTTGATAATAGTTGGTGTTTCAAGATAACTTTAATAGAGAATATATAGGTGTAAGAATGCTCAGATAGATAACTTGTTAAGGCATGATGTTCTAACTTAAGCTTATATGAAGTATCATCCACTAGACATTATAATAGATCGAGAGTTTTGATTAGAGTTTGGGCACAAGAAGTGAGCTTATATTATTAACAATATTTACAAAGTTCTTCACTTTTCTTTATATCTTGTATTTATAGGCTTCTTTAATGTCTGGTGAGTGTGAGAGCTTTATAGATGGTCATTCTAACTTGTGATAAGTGTTACGTTGAATATGATCGTTCTGTGTGTTTCAGAGCTCATGAAGTCTTTGGCATGATTAAGGAATGATCCAGAGTTGGCTGGGCTAAACATGCTTCTTTAATCTTTAGGCGTTGAAAAATTCTTTATGTAGCTGACTTAATTTTTTCGGATGTTATGTTGGAACTACTATATTGTACCATTCAATGTGCATAACACTAAAGAAGAAATAAAACACGTGCATTCATAATTTGCACATGTTATTAGAACACTTATCAACAATACTTTTTGAACATTTTTAAGACTAGATTTCAGCGTGAAAGATGTTCAGATAAATGTTAGACTTGTGTACAATTAAGAACGTAGATGGTGGTCTTAGCGCATTGGACGTTTGACATCGATGCTGACAAACGTTTTAACTAGTGTTGCAATTCTTCAATTTTACGTGATTTTTATTGATTAAAAATTAGCGATGAAAGTAAGTTGTCACTAATAATATATTATAATTGACTAAATTTTATTTTGTCACCAATATAAATTACAATAGTGGTTAAACAAATAAATTGTCACTTTTAATGCTATTAATAGAGACTAAAATGTGTCGAAAAAATATACAATATATACCAATTTTATTATTAATAGTGACTAAAATATATTAAAAAAATTTAAATAATATATACCAAATTTATTCTCATTTGAAGTTTGTCACTAATAAAAATTTTGCTTAAAGATGTTTTTAATTTTTTAAATTTAAGGTAAATTTATTTTTAGTTCTTATAGTTTTAAAAAATTGTTTTAGTCCTTATACTCAAATTTTGGTAGCAAATTTATCAAATATTGTGATATAAAATCTACTTACTAGTATCTTTGTTAGTAAAAAATCACATTAAACCTAATTGATACTGTATAAGTATTTTAATCTATTACTTTTACATATATTATTGATGACACGAGGAACTAAAACAATTTTTTTTTAAAAATTACAGGGACTAAAAATAGTTTTAAATTTGAGGGAACAAAATCAAATTCATCCTAAATTTGAGAGACTGAAAACATGTTTAAACTCAAAAGTTTTAACAAAAATAAATATTTATGACAGGGTACATCATTCATGACTCTAGGATCATCAACTGGTTTTTTTATTGGTGACTTTGATAGTGACATCTCAACAAACTTGTTAAAAGTAATCATTAGTTAGTTAGTTGTCATGATTATGTTAGGTAGTTGGAGTTAACTTAAGCTAACCTAGGTTGCTTCTAGACTAGGATTAGCTGAGCTTGCTCCATAAGCTTCTAGAGAGTTAACTATGATTGGTTAGCTTAAGTACAAGACAACTAATCATGGTTACATTTGACCATGGTTAGTCTAGCTTGCACCATAACCCAACCAACTCTTATATATAGGCTTTCCTTGCATTGGCTGAAACTTACTTTGAGTATATACATGAAATGGATGAATTTTCTCTAATTCTCTTTCTCAAAGCTTGTTTCTCTCCTTTAAACTTGATCCTTTTCTCTTATCCTCTCTTGAGTGTGGTGAGAATTGGAGGGACTTATCACTCACATGAGTGTGGCATCAACAAGGGGGTTTCCTACCCTTCCATGTGTGTTTGAACATGGATTCTAACACCTTAGGAAGCCATAGACGAAGCTAGAAGGAGACCAAGAAGAGAAAGATTTGTTCTAGGAGCTTGAACGAGGACCTACATCAATCAAGTCTCTCCTTGTAGTTTCCATCAATTATTAATATTAATTAGTACAATGATCACTCATATTCGTAGTTCAAACACAACAATTGCACAACATCATTTGATACACCTTAAGATATAATCATTATGAAATTGTCTAATCATATGTTAATTAAGACATTAACCATAGTTACTAAGAGATTAACATCATTAAGCATTTAAATTAATAACTTAACTAGTCTCCCAACCTCATCAATATCATACATTAAGTCTTAGGCATCGTTATCACCAAACACCTTAAGTCGTTAACAATTAACTGATATCAAAACTTATTTACACTTGTTTTATTCTGTGATTTATATTTCCTAAGGATTGATATAGGTACCTTAAACCATTTGTAAGATCAAACACTCAAAAGGTAATGTCATTCCTCATTACCATTCACAAACTACATTTCCACAATTTAATTTTCTAAGACCTTATGTAGTCCAAACACCATATCTAGAGTTATACATATGTTATCAAGTTGATATTAATTTCGTTAGAAAGACAAGACAGTGTACAACTTCTATGTTGACCTCAAGTGCTAATGCTATCTATTATTTTTTAAAATACAAAACCACAATGTTTTAGCATAAATCTGATAACTTGACCTTCACTCACTAATTTGATCATAACTCTCTAGACATCCTTTTTAGGTGATTCCAATATTTGAAAGTTAACATTCAGAGATACAATCTTATGAATATCACAAAACCTTATTCTAATAGTACCATGCATGGTGCCATAAAAAATCCTCAACCTTTGTCACACTTGCACCCAATGTGATTGATGTCAAAACTCACAAGGACAACATCAAATAGCCTCAACATGGGCCATTTTGTTAAGTCAGACGAAGCAATTCCCAGAAAGGTTTTGAGTGAGACAAATATAATACATGTTGTTATCTCTAACAAGAGTGTTAGTGTTTCAGAAGAACATAAGGACAGGTAAAATGAATAACAAGCATATACATCAAACAACATAAGAAAGCTTTAAATAGACAGTCAGAATGAAGCTTCAAGCACCTAAAGAAATTTGATCAAGCATTGAGACTAAGTAGACGAAAGGCCAACACAAGCATCAAACAAGGCAAAAGTGTGTCACGAGCAACATAAAGAATCAGACGAAGGTTGGTCCAAGATCAGAAGGAAGTCAACAACATATCAAATGAAGGACAATAAAACTAATAAGCATTCTAGAAGGAATTGAAAGTCTGACCATATACTAGTTGACTAGACGAAAGGAAAGGTCAATGCATTAATAACAAATGCTCAGACAAAGGTCAAGTCTTGAGCTACACATAGACTACCAGACTCAGACGGAAGTTGTCATGCAATCACCTAAAGAATCAAGCTTCAAAGGGCAATTTGAATATCGTCCACTCTCACAGGAGAATACACGAAGTCATCGAAATTGTGAGAAGAAAAAAAGAAAGGAGAAGATCAAGCGCAGAACTAAAAGCATGCATGTGTCAGAAAAAGTACATTACTTTTTCAGATAAGGATAACACTCCATAGCTACGTGACCATAAAAGGACAAAAAGGTTCCTATAGGTCTTTACTAAATTCAGACACAACCAAAAAGAATTCATGCAAGGTTTATTACAAGAAGGAACACTTAATGCAAGAATTTGAGCATTAAATGAGAAGATCAAATCAGTCATAAACAACTATAAACTGCTTCAACGGACACTTACAATGGGCATATTTCACAAGACTATATATAGGTCACAACATCAATCCTGAAAAGGTTGGCTGTTTGGCCCGAAATGGTTCAAGCGAAAAGAAGAGTGATATCCAGCGTATGAAGCAAAAAAATCAATGATAGAGCTTATAGAGTCAAATGTATCATAGCGCATTCATCTCTGTAAACTAAGGAGTTCCAAACATGTGTATTTTAGGAACAGAACCTTAGTGAGTGTACCAACATCTACATCCTCTCCATAAGAGTAAACCAAACACTCAATCGTTGTAAAGACTAAGGTCTCACACCTTAGTGAGTGTAGAAATCTATGTATCCTCTCTATGAGAGTAACCCATACACTCAAACCAAATTTGCTTAGTCAACATCGTAAAGCCTGAAGAGGCTAGGAAAATAATACTTGTAAAGCCTTGAGAGGCTTGTCAAAGAATACTCATTGCGAGCCAGAAGTGGCTGTGTAAAGAATACTAGCATTGATGAGTGAAGTCAACGAGCCAGGAGTTGGTCGAGAATACTCATTGAGAGCCAGAAGTGGCTGATAAAAAAATACTAGTGCTAGTGAGTGAAGCTGGCAGGCCAAGAGTTGGTCGATAATACTCACTAAGAGCCAGAAGTGGCTGAACAAAGAATACTAGCTTCAGCAAGTGAAGCAGACGAACCAGGAGTGGTTGAGAATACTCGAGCAACCAGAAATGGTTTAAGAATACTAGCGTTTGTGAGTGAAGCAGACGAGCCAGAAGTGGTTGAGAATACTTGGGACCAGGAGTGGTCATGACATGATGGTCTATAAAACTCACTGCCACTACAAGAAAAAGTTAAATTTCCGACGGATAATTTCCCACGGACAAAAATACGTCAGAAATTTCCCACGGATTTAGATCTGTCGGAAATTTCTGACGGAATTTCTGACGGAATTTTAACTGATGGAATTTTCGACGGAATTTTTGACGGATTTAAATCCGTTTTGGTATGTGTATGAGAATCTTTGTAAATTTGTGCTTATCTTTTCCTCCCTAATGTTTGTCTCAGAGTCCTTTGAGTCAGCTAGAACAGTTTCAGTGAATGCAACATCAAAATCAAAGGTTGGGAAATCAACTGCCAATGGTGTTTCAAAACATGGAAATAGAGCTGTATCTTCGGTATGTTGATTAACTTTTTAGTTAGTTACTTTTATATTAGTTTGGATTTCTAACTATTTGTTTCATCATCTCAAAAGAGAGCCGTGGCAACAAAGGGCGTCAAGTCTGAATTAATATCTGTTCATGATATAGCGGTCCAGTCTCAAGCCTTGTTAAATATCAAGGATTCTAATAAGGTATTGTTTTCTGAAGTTGGGTATACCAGACATTGCTTAAAATCTTAAAAATAAGTGTGGTTGGACCATCATCTAGATTTTCTTACATGCAGGAAGATAGAGAGAGAATGGTGGTTCGAAGGTTTAAGTTTGAGGACCCACGTATTGAGCAGATTCAAGATCTTGAGGTGGAACTGTTTATTGGAGAATAATCTTGCATAACTCAAGCTTTCTATAATTATTGAATTATAATAAATGTGCCTATAATTTTCAGAATGATATGATGAAGTACTTCAGAGAGGATTTACATCGGAGACTCTTAAGTGCAGATTTTAAGAAGCAAGTTGATGGACTTGAAATGCTGCAGAAGGTGTTGTTCTTTTAACATTCTTAATAACTTGCATGCTTTTGACTTGTTAAAAAGTACTAGAACTTATTCATTCTGCTATTGCATATTCCAGGCACTTCCATCCATTGCTAAGGAAGTTATAGAAGTTTTGGACATTCTTCTGAGGTGGTTTGTGTTGCAGTTCTGCAAATCGAACACAACATGTCTATTGAAGGTTCTTAATTAAAGCATGAGTGATTGAATCGTGTTGTTATTGATAAATGGATGCCTCGTTAAAAACCTTGCCGGCCAAAACCTCTTTTCACTATTTTTTAAGAGGGAAAAAGACCGGTTCAAGGAAAAGAGTGCACCCTTACAACGCTTACAAGTTTGTGAAATAGACAACTAGCTATAGTAAGTCTTCAAGTGCGTAGAGTTCCATGTTCGTGGGAGGACTTTGCCGGATAACTCCTCCAACTTGTATGCCTCGTTATGAAGAGCGTGGCGCACTCGAAACGGGCCGTCCCAATTGGCTGCCAGTTTGCCCTCAGACGGGTTGCGCCTTGCCGAGCCGGTTGCCCTCCATACAAGATCTCCGTCGTGAAATGTTCTTGGTTTGAGGTTAGAATTGAAGCGCCGACTCATGCGTTGCTTGCATGCTTCGGCTACTACCTGCGAATTGTCCCGTACTTCCTCAAGAACATCTAGTTCAGCCCGAAGAGATGTGTCATTGGAGTCCTCTTGAAAATGTTGTCGTAAGTCCCCTCTCCAAGTGTGGCCGTCGAGTGCATGGCTGCCGAGGTCGAAGTTCCAAGCTGGCTGACTCCTATTCGGAACTTCATCCTCCAGGGAGAATTGCCAACTGATTCGGTGGAAGCCAGAAAATTGCGAACCCAAGCAGCTCGGTACTCCATCATAGCCGGCGAACTCTACAGGCGCGGATTCTCCACCCCGTTGCTTAAGTGTATTGACAATCTCCAGGCCGACTATGTGATGAGGGAAATTCACGAAGGCATCTGCGGATCCCATTCCGGAGGCCGAACTCTTGCGGCAAAGGTATCACGAGCCGGATATTATTGGCCAACTCTAAAAGGAGATTGTGCTGAGTTTGTTAAGAGGTGCATACAGTGTCAACGGCATGGGAATCTAATCCACGCCTCGGCCGCCGAACTACACAGTATCAGCTCTCCATGGCCGTTTGCGTTATGGGGAATTGACGTACTTGGCCCATTCCCTATGGCGAGGGGACAAGTTAAGTTCCTTCTCGTGGCAGTAGATTACTTCACAAAATGGATTGAGGTCGAACCACTTGCTTGCATCTCTGCTGCTAACATCCAAAAGTTTGTATGGAAGAACATCATCACCCGTTTCGGCATCCCATATGCCATCATTTCAGATAACGGTCTCCAATTCACGGACAAAAGGTTCAACTCATTCCTCGAAAACCTTGGCATTCGGCACAGGTTCACATCGGTTGAGCACCCTCAGTCGAATGGCCAGGCCGAAGCGGCCAACAAGGTTATCCTTACCGAACTGAAAAGAAGACTCGGCTCAGCAAAAGGAGTATGGGCTGATGAATTACCAGAA